TTATATATATAGATATCGATCCAGAGAAAGAGAGAGAGAGAGAGAGAGAGAGAGAGAGAGAGAGAGAGAGAGAGAGAGGGAGCTTTTAGTTGTTAGTTTTTCAAGAAGCTGCCGACGGCAAAATTCCCCCGAATATTACCAACCAAGATCCTCGCATAATAAACACATAACGGTAATCCTCAAAACAATAATTAGCAATGCGAGAAGTTGCGAGGCTTTCCCGAACGTTTAAACATTTCTCGGGCAATTCATGGGGCAAGATTAAAACGAAGTAATCGGCGCATCCGAAAGAAAAGCGGGGAGAACTTTCACGAATTCGAGGTATTAGCTGGCCAGACCGTTCGGGCAAAGCACCGAGTGAGTCGCGAGGCCGATAGCACCAGAAGTTAGTTATTCACCCGTGGAAATGAGTAAATAGTAGAGTCGCGTAAAATAAGATCCGCGGGTGGAAAAAGATGGTGGTAGGGTGAACGGGATAGGATAGTATAGGGGGGGGGGGGGGGGGGGGGGGGGGGGGGGGGGGGGGTCAGGGCACATTAGAGCGGTTAGGAGGTTGAGGGAAGCGCGGAACGAGCGGCACCGAGTGGTAATAGTTTTAATCCGCTGTCTTGAAGTCCGGATTTGGTGGAGCGGCAGTTAATGGCCGGGAAAGCGCGGGTGTACCTACTTCGCGCTCTGATATCATAATCCGAATAATCGCCATTATTGCCGCCATTTACTTAATCCGCAGGGCGTCGTGCAGCTTGGTCCTCCTTTTTCCTTGGCCTTTAACCGGGCCGTCATCGCGCAGCCTTCGTAGCCGATGATTTCTCAACGCTATGCCCCCCCTCCCGCTTCGCAATTCATGGGAGCAGGGCATGCTGAAAATTTTCCTAATTTCCATTCGTAGAGCCGATTCGATGACGTTTTTCTTCCGTGCAAGCAAAATACTAAGCCTCGCCCGAAAATTACCGCGACCTTTCCTACGAGTCTTACTTAGCTCTCGGAAAATGAGAGACTGGGGGGCTGGTGGGTGGGTAGGTGGTTCGGTAGGAGGGGGGGCGGATGAGGCGTAATGCACGACCGCGGATATAACATTCGAATTTCGCGCAAAGGAGCGTCAGACAAAAGGAAAGATATAATCAAGAGGCAGAGTTAGTTGCACGGCACGGGGGTAGTGTCTTGCTCGGGGATGTATAGTCGTGTAG